GAGATCTCACAGGTAGAACTCCGGGCCTCAAGTGGTGGTCCGGCAAAAGTTCGGGCCTCAGGTGATGGTCCGGCAGAAGTCCGTGCCTCATGTGGTGGTGCGGCGGAAGTCCGGGCCTCTGGTGGTGGTCCAGTGGAAGTTCAGGCATCAGGTGGTTGTCCGGCAGAAGTCCGGGCGTCATGTGGTGGTCCGACGGAAGTCTGGGTCTCAAGTGGTGGTCTGGTAGAGCAACGACGTTAAGCGGTGGTCTGGAGAAAGTCTGGGCCTCAGGTGGTGGTCTGGCGGTCCGGCAGAAGTCCGGGCCTCAAGTGGTGACCTGGTGGAGCACAGGGTCTTAAGTAGTGGTCCGGCGGAAGTCCGGACCTCAAGTGGTGATATGGTGGAGCACAGGGCCTCAAGTGGTGGCCCAGCGAAGCAACGACGTCAGGCGGTGGTCCGGTGGAAGTCCGAACCTCAGGTGGTGGCCTGGTGGAGCACAGGACCTCAAGTGGTGGTTCGACAAAGCAACGACTTCAAGCGGTGGTCCAACGGAAGTCTAGGCCTCAGGTGGTGGTCCGAAAAACTCTGGCAGTGGTCGATGACCTCATGTGGTGGTTTGGCAAGACTCCAACGGTGGTCGAGGACCTCATGTGGTGGTCCGGCGAGACTCCGATGGTGGTCGAGGAGGAGCTTCTTCCTTCTCTTCCTTCTCTTCTCTTCTCCTCTTCCTGCTTCGGTCTCTTTTCAAGAGGAATGAGGAGTCTATTTATAGATTTCTTGAGTGGCATGATCCGTAAATATGTGAGAGATCAAGGATAAATAGGGAGTGGTTGGATGGACGACCAATATTGAATCCCTTGATTCTGGACCGTTCGTCAGACATTTGAAGGTCTTTATAATGTCAGAATTTGGCAATCTTGGGCTCGTTGGATTCTTCTCGTCGAGCCGCTCAATTCGACTATAAGCACGTCATGTTTGGAAACCGTTTGGTAGCCCAAATTGTGGTTCGAACCTTTCAACAGCACTTCGGGTCCTTGATTTGGACTCATTTGTGCTCGGATTGAGTCAAATTTGGTGTCGTTGGGTTCGTATTTCCGAGACGTTCAGTTTGACTGTAAGTTTGTTGAGATCAGAGTTCGGATGGTCTCAATTTTAATTTCAGAAGTTTCCAACTCGATTTTGTATCGAGATTCGTGCCGGATCAAGATAATTTTTTATGACATATCAAAACAATTCTACAACTATTTTATAGATAATTATAATCATCCAAAAGAATTTGCTAGAGTAATATCAGTTAAAAAAATATTAAATTGTCAACTTTCATAAATTATCAAATTAAATAAATCATTTGATTTGATATAAATTGAATGTTTAGTAAAAAAAATTCAGTGAAATAAATATATTTTATTTAAAATTTTTAGATTTTTTTGGTTGAATGTAAAGCAAATGTATGTGATTATTTTTTTTATATTTGATTTGAAGTAAAATAAATTCAATGTTAATCTTAATAGTGGTTATCAGGCAAGGAAGGCGGCACCAATGATGGCGACAACAAGGCTGTAAGTTAGCTGAGTCTGCTCTTAAGCTTGCTCGAACTCGACTTGTTAACAGTCGAGCCAAGAGTTCGGGCTCAAGCTCAGCCTGACTTGGCTCGTAAGCTTCTTGAGTTGTTTGTTTAAATTTAAACGTTTTTCAAAATTAATTTTAGAATAATATGATAAAAAATGTACTAAAAATTTTTTATTGTTTTCCGAGTCAAGCTCAAGCTTTTGAACGAGTTGAGTTCGAGCTTAGCAACAACTGCGAATGAGTAGTTTATTTGAAACTCGGTCAAAATCATTTGACTTTAAAATATATTAAAAATAATTAAAAAATGACTTTCACATTAACTAAAATTTTATATTAAATTTATTTCTCATCAAAAATTCAAAACTGAACAGCAAATACTTTAGCCCCAAACAAACGAGTAATTATTCTGTGCGGAATTTGGACTGAAAGAATCGATCAGACTGTGAGTATAAATACTGTGTAATCATAGTGCGTATAAAAAATAAATAAATATTATATATAAATTAGCACACAATATATTTATTCATATATTTCCACAGAATAATTTCTCCAAATAAACAGCCCCTGAGAGAATAAAAACAGCTATTAATGGATTCCATCGAGTTATTAATTGCTTGTCGGGTTCGATGCGAACAGGATCCGTTTGGCGGCAATAAAAATTATTCTCAGAATGACGTTGGAGCTTAACAGCTAACGGGTCTGGTTCATTGCATCCGGGCCCTGTTGAACGTCATTGTCGTCAATTATTAACTATTCAATACGCACTTACGCAGGAAGATCGGGTTAATGGGGACCGTTAAGAGCAGTTCATTGAATCCGAGCCGATTTCTGATTACCCGTCGCTTTCTTGGATTGCTAAGCTTATTGATATCCGGTATATAGTTCGGAGGTGAATCAGAACACTCCACGTCATCTGATACATAGCCGCGGTATATAGAAACGGGTGACGTGGCAAGTTCTGATTCACCTCTGGATTGTGTCCGTATCCGCACAAAATAATTTCACCCGGTTTAAGGCATCATTTGTGATAGTCTTTTTAATGTTTAATTCTTCAATTATAATCATAATATATATTTGGCGGCTATTTTTTTGTTGCTTTTAAATAAATTATATTTTAGGAATGTGCTTTCTATAATAGTTTTAAAAATTTTATTTTATCTATAGCAATTTTGCAAAGTAGTAAGAAAGATGTATTAGGCTTCACTTGGGACGGCTTTCTTACTGCTTCTTAAAACAATTTTGTAGTACAAAAATATTATATGAAAAGCTGCTTTAAGAAGCATTAAGAAATTGTCCCAAACAAAGCCTTAAATGGAGGCTACTATAAAAATAAGAAGGCTACTATGAAATTACAAATATTTTATTTTTAAAATTTTGAAAAAAAAAAGTTATGAATATTAAAATTTAGTAGATCTGGTTGTTAAAAGAGACTTCTTATTAGAAAAATCTTCAAAAGCAATAAGAAAGCAGTAGTCAAATGAATATATGATAATGATCTGAAAATAAAATAACGAGAAGTTTAGCCCAAATAGATCATAGGTTTTGTAAGAAACGTTAATACCTACACTATCAACAAAATTTCATGTTATTAGTTATTTAAATAAGAATTATTTAAAAATAGTACAATAATTAAAAATAGGAATGGAAAGCTATATTTATGAAATAAAAATAAGATCTACTTACAAAACATAATTTACTTGCAAATTATATTTATGAATTAATAGAAAGCTAGAAAATGATCAAAATGAAAAAAAAAATCATAAAATATTTGCTTTGTGGATCACAATTCTAATGATTTTCACCATCCTAAATGAGCACATTTTAGTTTTCCATTGCCTTCTAATAACCCACTAGGAGAAAGAAGAAAAGAGATCATAAGCTATACCTTCAAGCTTGCTAAAATCTCCTGGATGGCCTCAAGGAGGGGAGCAATTATTATGTAAGGTCACCTGATGCGTTCAGAAATTAATAATCATGCGCCGCGTCACCTGAAACTCGGTATTGAGCACTCGGTATTGCTCGGTATACGTCCGGATTTCCGGTTTTTTGTCCGGACGTAATAATTACTCTAAGGAGGAGGGAGGGTAGAGCTAGTAAAGCCAAAATCTCAACCTTGAAGGACTCTAAAGCTTCATTTGAGATAATTTTTTTACTGCTTTTTAAAACAGCTTTCTAATGCAAAAAATTTTAATTCAAAAATTTTGTATACTAAAAAAATGTTTTAGAAAGCAATAAGAAAGTTGTCCCAAACGAAGCCTAAGTGTCATGAGTTATAAAAATGTGCAAAAATTAGTACTCTATTTATAACTAATAGTTACAAAACTTTGTGCTCAAATCAACTCTAATCTTAACCAAAGAAATGTTGTTTGAATTAGAAGGAAAGAATGTGCGGAGAATACACAAAAATTCATAATTGAGGGGGCAATTGATAGGTCCTTAAATAAATAAATTATTGTGGACCATTCCTAGCTATCTATAAAGGGCATCAATATTTGTGCTTTTTGGATATATCAAATTATTTTTATCATGTCACAGTTAGAGTGCATTAAGAATCTAAGATCCACCCCATCGGGCTTAGCTGAGATGATGGGCAAGCATGATTGGGAACCCCCAAACACATGTTTGATTCCTCTCTCGTGCGGCGCGACTCCTTAAATGGGAGAAAATAACTGTTTGGCCCTGCACATGTAGTGTTGGTTGCTGGTAGACCCACCAATGGTTTTGTCATGGGCCTCTTTTGAGAGTGGCAGTAAACAGATACCCCCGTTCTAAAAAAAAAAATCTAAGATCCATACTAACCATATTGATTGTATTTAATGATTTTTTTTGTTAGTACCAATGTGATGACTGGGAATAAATTTGGTTATAAATTTTAGATCATCCACAACAATAATATCATTTAAATAGAGAATACAAGACTTACTAAAAGAGGAAACCTAAAAAAGTGCTACATGAACTCTATTGGTTGAATTTCCTCATTTGCCCTCATAGTAATGAATACAAACAAAAATAGAGGGGTAGTCAATAAAATAACTTTCCATCCTTTTTAAAAATATAAAATAAATAATGCTACATTCCATTATTATTTTTATTATATAATATACAATTAGATAAGTTATTAACTTATATTTTTCTCACTTTTTATATAATTTTTCTCATAATATCAAAGCATTAATATTTTTATAAGATTATAAGTGAATATATAGGAAACTTTCTTATAAGAAAAAAAAAAGTTATTAGCAAAGTAATTATTAAAATTAATTCTTAATTGATTAATTTACAACTTAACACAATATATTTATCATATTTGTGTGCCAAATTATTAGAGAACTTGCCTTCGAAGTCATCAAATCAATCCTAGTCAAATCAATGGAATCAAGACCACATGCATTTCCTTCATAATAGCTCTGCCTACTAAGGATTTAAACCTCCAAAGTTGCAATGAACTCATTAATTCATTATTAAATATACATAAGTTTGAAGATAATATAATTTATTTCAAATACATAGACTCACTCCAATACTTTTTACCTGCAAAGTCCGTCCGAATGCAGCTTTCGTCTGGACTGCAATGAAATAAAGTTATGTGGCATATACACACCTTGTGTACACCCTGTACACAGGAAGTGTATAAGAGGAATTTATACACACGTTGTGTATAAGTTGTACACAAGGTGTGTACAAGCTACGTGGCTTCATTTCATTGGAGTCCGGACGAAAAACTACATCCGGACACGTAATAATTTCTCCAAATGACCTAATAACATAGCTAAAGCACAGCACAACTAATCATATGACCAAAAACAATATAATAGATCAGTGATCACTGAGCTCCACTTGGAAGCTCCATGTTCTTGTCTACCACTCTCACCTCCTTTGCTGATCTGATAACTTCTGCCTGCATGTTGAAACAAATTTTATTTATTTATTAAAAAAATTATAGATATGAATTATCATGTAACATACAAAAGATAAATATTTTCCAAAATATCTAACGCACGAGTTTCTTCATTTATTTTAGTTACTGAAATAATTTTCAGATCTATATGAGTATCAGAATATATATTGCAGTACCTGTTCTTGATTTATCTCTACAGCAAATCCATCAACAATGGCCAAAGAGGACTTCTTCTTGTAGGTGTTTGGCTGCAGAAGCTTAGCTAAAAACTGCTTATGCTTATTGCTCAGATATCTGTTTAGCACTTGAATGCCTTTCTTCGATCTGCAAAGTTTCAAAATAATAATAATAACTTTAATCATATTTAATGAAAGAACCTATATTAAATATTATTTTTTAAGCTAAAAATATTAAAATATATAAGACTAAGAGTCTATTTGGGACAGCTTTCTCGGTGCTTTGCTTTTCATATAAGTTTCTCGTAATGGAAAGTTCTTTTTGATAATCATATATAATAGCTAAGTTATTTATTTCGCTATCAATTTTATAAAATATTGCAACATACCGATCCAATCGAAGACGCTCATAGTGAGGATCATAGTTCATGAAAACATAATAGACTTCTTTTGCTGCATCTCCCATAGCTATTCTTTTTCAGTAGGCTTTGAGTAGCTAAAGCAAGTAAGAAAAGAGGTATTTTTGTCTATGGAACTTGCCATGGAGATGACTGGCTATTTATAGAGAGAAATTACTGTAATTTACTCATTAATATATAGGTGGAGAAGAGTGTAAAGTGATGGCTTGTATGTTTATATTAATGAAAGATTCCCATTCAATCATGTCACATGTTAAATAAAACATGATTGTGACAAAGAAAATATTCATATTATGTACTTTGACTTGTAAATTGATTAATAGTAAGATTAATATTGGACTGTTATGTTAGGAGGGATATTCTATTAGGGGTTATTCTATAAGGATTTATAAGAGGAATGTCTTATAAAATGTTTTAATTTTTTTCTAGATATATTAAGTATTAATTTATTTCATATATTACTCAATAAAAATGATAAAATAATTAGGATTCATAAGAAAGAACATGAAAGATATAGTGATGATAAGTTTGATGATGATGATGATGATGATAATAATTAACAAAAAAACTCAACTTTAGATCTTATTCTCTATGATTTTTTTTAAAATATTGACAAAATTTAATTTCATTATCTTAACAATTACAAAATTAATTATTAAGATGATGAGATTATATTTTAAATATATTTTCGTTAAAAAAAAATTAAACTAAATAACATATAATAATGTTTTTTTTCTTGAGATATAAGTCAATTAAATTGCAAATTGACATATACTATGTATGCAAGTCTCAAATTCAAGATCTTTTTGTTAGCACCCTAAGCTATCAATCAATAGACTAAATTTTTGTACTATAAAGCTACTTTAAGTGGTAAGAAAGCCGTCCCAAACGAAGCCTCAGACTTCATTTGCGGCAACTTTCTTAATAGTTCCTAAAGCAGCTTTCTAATATCAAAATTTCTAATTCAAAAATTTTTGTTCTAAAAATCTGCTTTAGAAAACTGTAAAAAAATCATAACAAACAAAGCCTGAGATGAGATGCATTAGTATCATCAAAGATGCATAAATAAGCGAAGACTAGTTCTACAAATTATCGATCACCCCAATTTCACTAACATAGTGCCTTTTAAATACTAGAAAAACTAACAAAAATGCTAAAAATATAGTAATAGCCTATTCGGGATGACTACAACAATGTTCAAAGATTGTTATAAAGTTGTTGTACAGAAAACAGCTTACCTACCCTGGTTGCAAGAAGCAGCTTTTCATCACATAAATAAAACTGTGAAAAAGCAATAAGAAAGTAATTGCCAAATAAAATTATTATTACTCTATAAAAAGCAAAATATTAAAAAAAAATTATCTCAAACAAACCCTTAAAAAAAACTATTATTGTCAATATCAAAATTTGAATCGGGTCCCCCCTCCCAAGTCCCAAGCCTTTCATGTCGGAATAGCTTTGGCCTTCAACATATAAGAATCATTTCAATTAAATTAAATTGCAAAATTTTGCTTTTGAAAACTTCAAAAAAAAAAAAAAAAAGAATTATTCAAAGAGTCAGTCCAGAGATTACCTCACAGGCTCACTGGAGCTAGCCAGTGACTTCTGACTAGGTCCTTTTTTTTTTCTTTTTTTGAAAAATTCCAATGGCTAAATTAAAATAATAATAATAATTCAAATCAACCAATCTAAATTTTGAATAAAAATTATATCAAAATAATTTGATACAAATCATCTAAAAAAATTATGTAAAGATATTCTGAAATACAAATCAAAGGATAGATAAAAATTATTTACTTTTTTTTAAAATAAATCTACTTTAATATAAATATTATAATTTTTGTAATTTGAATAAAAATTGAAGATGAATAGAGTAAAAATGTCAATGCAAGCTCGAGCTGAAATTTAGGGTGGGGCTCTCATTGAAGAAAGAGTACTCCTTCAAATTTCTACAAGTGGCAGAGCAAAATGTCAGTGCAGGCTGTGGTTGTCTTTCATAGCTCTGATAGGCTCACATAATTATAATTGTATTCCGTGTTATAAAATTTAATATAAAATTATATATTGTAGATGAATTTAATTCATAAATAATTATCAATAATTAGTAAACATTAAATGTATGAAATATATAAAGATGATAGAATAGTATGAATATTTATTTTTTAAATTTTAATTTTATTTATCATACATGAAAGAGTTTATATCATTTTTAAATTTAAGATCACATTATTAGTTGTAATATGAAAATTGAGAATTGTAAATGAATTTATTTCATCAATAATTATCAAGGTTTAATAAATGATTTAATTTTTAATTGAATATGTGAAATGCATAAAGATGATTAAATAGATTATATAATTATTTTAAAAAATGTAATTTTATTTATAATACATGAAATGATATATTTTAAAATTTTGTTTTTATATAATTTTAAATTTTAAGACACATTATTAAATGTATTATAAACAATTTAAAAAAATTGTAAATGAATTTATTTCATTAATAATTATCAATAATTAAAAATTGATTTAATTTTTTATTAAATATTTGAAATACATAAAGATTATTAAATAACATATGAACTTATTTTTAAAAATTCATTTTTATTCATAGTACATGAAATATAGCATCAACAAATTTCAATCAAAATTACAAACATCTCATCATACAATCAATCAGATATATATATATATATATATATATATCATAATACAGTAATACAGTTAGGTCAAGAATAATATTTCTCCTCATATTAAATTTTAGCTCTATATTTAAATAATATTTATTATTAAATTTTTTAATTCTATATGAAAGAATCCTGATGAACTGTGTGTCAAATAAAATAAAAAAAAATAAAAAAAAAACTGGATAAGCTCAGCCACAGATCTTCAACGGCCAACAAACTCTCCACCGTTGATCCTCTGCACAGCACTCGTCATGGGAATCACTTGTAACCGACTCTTAGTAGATATTTGAATGCTCAGCACCATATTGCAGAATTAATTAAAAAGCTTAATTAAAGATTAATTAATAATTATATATCTCTATAATTATGATTAAAAAGTCTTTACTTTCGATTAATGAATTGTACTCTAATTAGAATTGCAACAATTTAGGCTTCGTTTTGACAGCCTTTCTTACTGCTTCTTAAAACAGTTTTTTTAACAAAAATTAAAAATATACTAAAATCTGTTTTAGAAAGCAGTAAGAAAGCCGTTTCAACAAGTCTTAATTATGAATTAAAAGAGATTTTTCAGGTGAAGATTGATCCACAAATTGTTGAATTCTTAATTAATGATTTGCTTCTATAGTGCTATAACATTCATCGCAATTAGCATCTCCAATAAGACTAATTCTAATGACATCAATAGTATTTTTTAATCAAGTTCAAATGGATCGAAATCAAACATTGAAGTACTGATTGAAACTTCGTGAATAATAAAAGATAGTCGACAATCTAGAATCTTATTATGGCTTATATTCCAAAGCCAAGCATCTCAATTAAGAGGAACGCAATGAGCCAAGATCACTTAATTTCAAGGGTTAACTTCTAAAATATCTTCTTAAGTCTGTTTGGGATGGCTTTCCTATAACTAGCTTTTTTCTCAAAAAAGTGGAATCCAGATCCTATTTGCTAAAAACTTTTGTTGATTTAAAAAAAATTATGATGAAAAAATTATTTTTAACAAATAAATCTACTAAAATAAGTTATTATAAAAGAGTTGCAACTTCAATAAAGAGTATAGCTATAGACTGCAATTTTATTTGAGCAGTTTGCAACTTTCTATAAAAATTATTATAGAAATGTTAATAGATGAACGTTATTGTAAATACTATAGACTTTTTTAAAGAGAAATATTTCTTACAGCAACACTACATAAAAAATTCGTTTGAATTTGAAAACCGGAACAGAACTGGCCGGCTAACCGATTGGCGAGATATGCGTGCATCGGACTGGCAAAGAACCGGAAATGAACCGGAAAACTGGGCTGATTTTAAAGAACCGACCAGTTCAAAAATAAGATGTTTTGGGCGTTGGATTGAACCATGAACTGCCAGAATTTACTTGGCACAAATAACCCTAACCGCAAATTCTATTTCGCTGCTTTCACCTAAGATTTACTTGGCGAGCGAAATGCATTTGTTTATATTTATTGACTTATTTGATTCAACATTATATTATTATGTGTTATTGTTTTATGTTTTATAAACTTAATAGATCCAATATTTATATTATTTGATTAGTTTGATATAAAAAAACAGATTATAGATGAATGTAATGTATTGAGAAAAATCTAATCATTTATTTTATATTTTTAATAATATTATTATTTATTACATATCCGTTACGACCGGTTCGATTCAATACAAGAGTCAACATAGTAGACCTCTCATTCTTCCAAATTCATTTGTGGTCTGAGTTTTCAAAATGTTTAATAAAATTAAAAAAAAAAAAAAAAAAAAAATATTCACACAAATATTTTTTTAACAAAATATGCAAAAAATATAAAACATTTAGACTTTTTATTTTTTTATATAAATATTAAGAACTTGTATGCTGTGAAATTTCAGGAGCATAGCCATCACTATTTGCAAAGACTTTTCTCTCAATTTTCTTTTCCATTCATTTTAACATGTGTAATAAACTCATTCTTCTCATCATTTGAACTTATCCATTTTCTTAGAAGCAATTTTTTAGCATAAAAATTTTTTAATTTAGAAATCTTTATCTATACTAAAAATTTAATTTAAAAATAATTAAAAATAAAATCATCTACTCTACTTATATTCATTATGATGAAAGTAAGTAAAAATTGAATGATTATATTTGGATTAAGTATGGGTAGAGTATTAATGGGACCATTGATTAGTACAGATGAAAGGGCACTGGAATGCATGTTGAAGACTGTGCATGGGACTCATGGGCTCATGTCAAATAATTTGGTTTCTTTATATGTGAGAGAGAGGACAAATAACTTTAAGACTTGAGATTGAAGAGAGAGAGAGCAATCATTGCTTCAGATTCATAATCAAAGCATTTGTATTATATATATACCACTTTTGATTAAACGCTTCATTTTAGACAGCTTCATTCGTGCTTTTTAGAGC